TTTGATTCCTTGGTCTTTGACCCAAAACATGCGTTTTGGTTCCTTTTGGCATTTTGTTCATTCTGACACACTGGTAGCAAGTGGGCAAAAGGCAGAGATACTTGAGGCCATCCTGGAAAGGAGTGGAATGTTTGATACTGGGACAATGGCTCGCTGTGAATGGCATTGCCACGGGCGTGTTGATGTGTGCATCCCTTGAATGTTCCTGCTGTCCGCTGCTTCTATGTCTGTCGACCAAACATGTTGCAATCACCTTCGAAACGAAGAAAGTTGCAGGGTCAGCCAGGTACCACAAGCACGGGCTCGGCTTGCACCTGATCTTCCTCCTGATGTCATCCACGCCGCGCTTTGGGGACAGGGTCCAGAGGCAGCAGCCGACACGGGGCGTTTGGAGAGGCCTCTCTGGCTTTGTCAGAAAACTGCAGGCGTAGATGGGGCTTTTGAAGAACATAAAAGGAGACTTAAAAGGGGACACGGGGATTTCAACCGGTCTTTTCTTCCTCCAAGCATTTCGTGCATTCGGTTTTTGGTGGGATATGCAAATTTGCTAGGCAAGGCATTTGATGTGTTCAACTGTGGAAATTCTCATGAGAAAGCACCTCCCAAGAGGGGGAAAGGAACGCGATCCTCAGAGTGTTTGCCATGACCAGCCCTTTCTTCATTCCAATGTCCATGTTGGTGCCGAGCATTTTGCTTTGAGAAGACTGCTGTCATCTTCAAACTGCAAGTGTTGGGAAGGGGACGGCGTTGAGAGACTGCACTAGACTCAAAAAAATCATGCGCCCGCTATGACTTGCTCCAACATTCTTCGTCAAGGACTAATCAGTGCAGTTGACCGTGAGGTGTTTACGCACTTGAGAGTTCATTGGTTACGGAGATAGGAGCGTCCCCTCCCCGTGCTTCAGACACCATAAGCAACCGGGGGAAGCTATGGTGAAGTCAAAACCCGAGCTATGGTGGCCTTGGGCGAGTGCGCTGGCGGAAACATTTTTCTGTGCTTTGAGCACCTCTTAGGCGTCCGAAAAAGGAAAAGCAGCATTCGGCTATTTCATGTCCGCTTTCCATGGACCTGGACGCCTGGTTTTGACCGACTGCGCATCATATTTAGGTAGGCTTCCTGTCGATGGTTTCAGGGATGAGAAGGATAAAAGCCTATATTTGGCACCAGCCCTTGATCCATGCCTCACTGAAGCTTTAAAGGGCACAAAGATAGGGTTGTACGTTGTACGGTGCGAGTGCACGTCTCAAGTACGGTCTCGCCCGCAATGGAGATGGATAGGGATTACAGCCCTTTGCCACCAAAAGGACATCCGCAGCAGGCACTGCTTCAGCTGTGTTTGGCCATCAGCTATGTGCTGCAGATCGGGCTCGCGCCACTTGTTCTTGCCAGGTACGCCAATCCTCAAGCATGCTTCCTCTTCACTTCCAGGCAGGGAAGTCGACTTTTTGAAGCCTGCACTCGTTTGTTTTTCGCTCAGCGGGCGGCTTGGAGCAGTTGTCCCAGATCAATCACCAATCTCTTGCAAGTCAAAGTCTGTCTTTGTGATTAGAGTCGAGAAGCAGGTTTCCGTCTTTCCCATTCTCAAAGCTACAATTGAGTTCCACTGA